ACATCTGTGGATGTAGCCTGGATGTGCACACTGAAGCCAGAAGTAAAAGGAGAGCCAGAGGCTATTGGAAGGACCGGCAATCTGATTTCTAAGAATTATATATTCCTAGGTTTCTTTGTTGCTTGAGATATTTGTTGAGGTAGAAAATTTTATATTTGCTGGTTAACTCTTAAGTGTTTTTAGACACTGAAAACATTTCAAGGTTGGCTTCCATTGTGTTCTTGCATAAATTCCATTAATACATTAGTGGGCCAGAATCTCTGTCTGTGTGCCTTTTTAAAACACTGTTTTAAAGTTTGTAAGGTTAAGAGAGGGATACATCTGCTGATTCACTTTCTGAGCACATGGAGAAGCTGCAGCTGCCGCAGGCCAATGCCAGGAGCCACAGGACTCAGTCTGGATCTCCATCTAGGATGGCAGGGATTCAGATATTTGAGCCATCACCTGCAGTTGCTTGGGGTGTGAATTAACAGGAAGCTGGAATCAGGAACATATCCAGCACTTGAATTCGGATGCTCAAAAAAAGGGGAAAAAATGGCTGTGTGTGTCCAAGAAGCATCTTAACCATGGTGCCAAACACCCTGACACTTGATTTTTTTTTTTTTTTTAGAAGATTTTAACAGAAGATGGAAAGGTCTTCCTTCTGCTGATTCACTCCCCTAATGACTGCAATGGCTGGAGCTGAGCCAATCCAAAGCCAGGAGACTCTTCCCAGCTCTCCCACATGGGTATAGGGACCCATCAGGGCCATCCTCTGCTGCTCTCCCAGGTAGTAGGCAGGCAGCTGGATTGGAAGTGGAGCAGCCAGGACACAAACTGTTGCCCACATGGGATGTCAGCACCACAAATGGAGAGTTAGTTTCATGTGTCACTGTGCCAGATCCTGACACTTGATTTTCAAAAAAGGGATGTTTATTTTGCAATAGCAACCTTTTACCCATTCTTATACTCCACTGAAGGAATTTCAACTAGGGAGGTTAAAGTATGCTAAAGGCTCATGGCTGACCAGTTACACCTGAAAAATGGCCCTGTCACCCTCTGAGAAGAATGTGAACCTCAAGTGGGCTGTTTAGTGTGACCCTTGTCTATACCAGTGGCAGTCGCTGTCACAGAATTTATTAGATAAGCCAATGAAATGAGTATGCAACATTGTCAAGAAATTTCAGAGATGAAGAGTTGCAACAAGTTTTGACCATAGAGTTGTGTGTAAGATAGTTGTGTGTAAATGACAGGAGGAAAGTGCCATCCCACTAATCACACTCAAAGCTCCAGGCCTCTGAATTCAGAATTCTTTTATTGTCAAGTTCTTGGTCCATTTCACAAGCAAAGAAACTAGAAATTAAAGATGATACATTGTATTTTGATTATATAAGAAAAGTGCTATGACTTTATGAATCAGTTAATTCATATTTTAAAAGAATTTAAATCAAGAGATTGACCAGTGTTACCTGCTTTGCCCCCTTTTAGATTTATGCAGAGCTTTTATTGTGTACCTGGATTGTTACTTCAAGCAACCTTATGTTGTGCCCTTTCTGTGCAATTTGCAAACAGAAAAACAGAGCACTATTATAATAAACACTCCCTGCTTATTAGCTAGAGTGTTTGGTTGAAAATCCTGCCATTTGGGGCCACCTCGTTTCAGAACTTTTAAATTCAACCTACATGTTCTGCAATATGCCTGAGTTTTTAAAAATCCACTAATATCCTTAACATTATTAACATTACCATGCTACCAGCTTGTAATGACAATTCACACTAAGACCACAATGAAGTAAGCTTGGAAGTATACAGAAAAATTTCTGGGAGGGAAAACTAGAATATATTAAGAACGACAAGCTCTAAAAATTTACTCCTTTCCTTGCATTTTTAAAAAAGAAGCTTAGGAAACAAACAGAAGGGGGGGCTGTCTTCAGTCCCTTCCTTCACCTCCAATTTGTCACTTAAACTTTGTTGTTACAGAATAACATTCTTTATAGAAATAACTTGGAAATGCAGTTATTTCTGTGGCGCTTTGGTATTTAAAAGTCTGTCAAAGCTGATCACCGTCTTAATTCCTTGGATACACTGCTCAAGAACAGGGCCGGAACTGCACCTGTCTTAAACCCAGGCAGCCCATCCACTGGACGGCGTTAAGCGCCCCTCCACTTAAGTTTCTGTGTTTGCAGCAATGTCCTCCATCCGCACCAAAATTGTTTGGAATCTCTCTATGCATACCACATGCACCAAAAAGTTACTGGGTGTTTACACCAAGGTCACATTTAACTGGCTTTCTATGTATCTGGCAAACTCGCACTGCAATCGGTGTTCCGTGAGTTCATGTTCATTCCGGGTTTTCCTAAACTCTCACATTGGCCCGGTGCTCTGCGGCATCAACTACGTGAGGTAGGGCGGCTTCTAAGCGGCTGGATCCCACGGGGAGAGAAGCGGCAGCACCCAAACCGCGCAGCGAGGGCTCCCCAGGAACCCGGGACCAGAACTTCGCGACACCGCGCCTCCGCGCTTGACGGCTCCTTTTGCAGCGGTTGCTGTGAGTGCCGGAAAGCAGCACTGAGGCCGCCGCTGTTGAGTAAGGTAGGTGTGGAGCTTGGGCTCGGTCCCCGGGCTTGATCTCCGGTTTGGTGCCCGGGCACTGTCCCTGGGCTCGGTCCCCGGCTTGGTCCCTGGGCTCGGTTCCGGGCTCGGCCCCCAGGGGACAGGTGCCTGCTTCAGACCCGCTGCGTTGGTGGTGCGGGCGTCCGGAGGTTCCGAGGCTGGCCACGAGCTGAGCGTCCGGGGGCGATACTCCTTACTGAGTCAGTCCAAGAGCATCTGGTGGCCAGTCCTTCCCACTCTCCCGCTAGGTCCAGTCCGCCTGCTGGGACAGGTTCCGTTCTGGAGGACAGTCGAGACGCTGTGGGAGCCGACTTGGCGCAGTGACATGGGGACGGACCCGTGCCAGCCGTGTCGAAATTAGCCAGCGAAGTCGTGGGACCAGCGTATGCCAGAGTAGAGAAAACTGCCAGGCTCTGGTGCGTGCGTGGCTGGAGGAGAGGCCAGGAAGACCTGGACATGGCGGGGGGCTAACACTGGGCTTCAGCCCAGGTGGCGCTGGGAAGGAGGGTGGAATTCTTCCCTGGGCAGTGGGAACTCCCAAAGTCATGATGGAGGAGTAATTAAGCAGCTCTCTGCGCTCTTCTGATGCCTCCTTCTCTACCAGTTTCAGCTTTCAGTTCATCTGGAGTATACACAGGAGGACGCACCTTGTATGTGCAGTGAGAGGTTGGTCATTGCCACCCATCATGGCTTTGGTGTCTACCCTTTGCCTGCGTTAGTAACAGAGACGTTGAGAAAGGCTGCGAGCCCGCAGACTTGAATAGCTCCAACATCTTCGCTATCATCCCCTGTGGCACACGATTCTGGCTCTCGGCTTTCTCGGATGCGAAGAAGATCTAGATGTTGTCTCACAATACTTTCTGCTTTTGAGCGCAGCAGGTTTTCCAATACCTAAAAATCAACCTCTGGGCTAATAGAGAGTGAGTGACAGGGCAATGCATTCAGCACTGAGGGAAGAAGGGAGCACCTGTAGGAGAGGACCCGCCTGTGCTGAAGTCTGAGGATGCGTACAAAACAAATCTATACTGTCCTCAGTGTGGGTGAATATTGCTGGTTTTCATGGTTTTAGGAGATAAGAATCATGACTTCTTCGTTTATCTTTGTTTAATATGCTTTATTTGTAAATCACATCACTGTTGCCATCATTTCTGTCTGGTTTGTTGACCTTATGAAATGTATCCTAGTAGTCGCGTTATGTAGATTTTGCCTCTAAGATTTCATTTGGATTGCTTTGAAATGTCAAGACTTTTGGGGGCAGCAGTATAGCATAGCAGGTAAAGCTGCTGCCTAATTGTGGCATCCCATATGGGTGCCATTTGGTGTGCCCGCTTCTCCACTGCTGATTGGCTCCTTGCACATGGTTTGGAAAAAGCAACAGAGGGTGGCCCAGGTGTTTGGGTCTCAGCCACCTACTTGGGAAGCCAAGATGACGATCCTGGCGCCTGGCTCCACCTGACCCAGCCTGGAAGTTGCAGTCTATTCGGTGCAAAATAATGAATGAAAACCTCTTTCTCTTTGTCTCTCCCTCTTTTTCAGTAACTCTCAAAATAAACATAATTTTTTTTAAAAGAAATTGAGACTTTTGATTTTAAGATGTCAGAGTAAAAGTGTTTTTGCCTTTTTATGTAATACTGAAGCAGCAAAGAAATGAGAGCCAGATATAATTACATCTTTGCTGAGGCTGGAAGACTTTTAAGCCTTAAATGAAATATTTGAGAAATGGTTGCCAGCTGTAACCTGGAAGAGGCTGGAGCAGGATTTTGAGAGAGATCTCAGAGTTGGCAAAGCAAAGAGAGGTGGGCTTATTTCTGGTGGGCTCAGGTTGCATGGGAAAGCAGAGGGTTCTTTCTTGGATTGTTAGGCACCGTGAACTAGCAAGAAAGGAAGAAGGAATGAGGAAGCGCATGAATGCAGCACCTCTGTCGGAAGTTCCCTGAGGCCCAGAGGAGGAAAGATTGTGAGTGGCTCTTTGCTATCTAACTCTGAGATCTGGGAGAAATGATGGTTTTTCTTGCTGATGCTCTTACTCTCAAACTTTCTCGCACTTGAATGTCACAGAGTACCTGCTGCTGCTTTTTCTTTGTCTATTTCTTTTTGAAGATTGATTTATTTTTACTGAAAAGACATATCAGAGAGGAAAGACACAGAGAAAGATCCTCCAGCCACAGGTTCGATCCCAAATGGCTGCAGCAGCCAGAGCTGAGCCAATCTGAAGCCAGGAGGCTCCTTTAGGTCTCCCATGTGGGTGCAGGATCCGAAGGACTTGGGCTGTCCTCTGCTGCCTTCCAGGCCACAAACGGAGCTGAATGGGAAGTGGAACAGCTGGGACTAAAACCAGTGCCCTTATGGGACGGCAGTGCTTGCAGGTGAAGCATTAGCCTGTTGAGCCATAGTGCCAGACCCCATAGCCTTGCTTTTTTTTCCACAGTCTTCCTGCAAGTAACTGATCCCTGGAGGAGCTCAAATCATGAAAGATAAATAGTAATGAAAAGGAAAATGAAAGCATTTACACACAAATCTCCAAGAAGAAGGAAAAGCAACAGGGAAAACAAAGAAACAGAGAAAGAACCCATGAGAAAATTAATGAGCTAACGATTATAGTGAAAATTATTTCCCTAAAATTAAAAAGGTGGATGGTCAAGATCTAGGTGGAAGTAGTAATTATTTTTCCCATTTTTATTATTATTTTGTGATATAGTTAGATATGCTCTGGGATTTCCCATACCCCCTTCTCACATGCCCTCCCCCCACTGATTTCGCTGTATTATTACAATACTATAGTTCTTCACAAAGAGTATATGCTGAGTCATAACCTGGAAGAGCTCAGGAGAGAACAGAAAGTGAAGGATATGATGACAGGTTTTTGAAAGTTGAACAGAGTGAATTGGGAATGAAAGGAGATAATTGTGTTTTTGGAAATCAAGAATTCAGTGTTGCAACAAAAAAAATTCAAATATGTGATTTTAAGAAAACATTCCTCAAAAAAGAAAACTTTTCACAAAGAAAAAAAATCTTTATTCTACAGATTAACAGGACATGCAAAGATCAAAGAGAACCTGATACAGCAGTATATCTGTCACCATCCTTACATAACCTGGTTTAACAAAAACTGAATTTCAAAGGTCAGGAGTATGTCCATCCTTTGCTTATTCTAAAAAGATCAAGTTATATATAGGTTGTTACAATTGAGGAATTCTGTATTATTTGTCATTTCTAGACAATGGTGTAAATCCTGTATGTCATCATGGGAGATAAAATGTGACCTCAAAACCCACTTGTCAACTAGCAACTAACTGAATGGTGCCAGAACTCAAGGTAGGTGATAACTTACAGGTTTTTTTTGATAAGCAGGAAGGTGATGAGTATCCAGGAGAGGAAGAGAAATGATACAATAAAAAAATTGACAGTGAATCTTATATGACTAAACTCAAAATAACAGATTTGTAGTTAGAATAGAATAGAACCATAACAAAGTGGAAATAGTAAAAATTAATAGCGAAAGGGGGCATACGTTTGCCGAGTGGTATATGACTGGAAGATAAAAGACATAAAGCTTAATTGTCAAGTAAAGAAGAATTATTATATTTGAATGAATACAAGATTTGAATGAAGTTCCAAGTGTAATTAATAAAAATACTTTGGAAAGCAGTTATGTAGAACTAGATTAAATTTCTTATGCTAAAGAAGTAATAGAGAGAAGAACTCAGATAAAAGAATAAAAAGTTTCATCATGACATTATTTACACGTATAAAACACTGAAAATGTATATGGGGTATTTATAAAAACTGATCACATCCTAGATCATATATATATAAAATCTCAAAAATAGCATGAGCCATAATTGTTTTTAAATTTTTGTTTGTCTCTTTGCTTATTACTGAAAGGCAGAGTGATGGAGAGATCCTCCATTTATTGATACATCCCTCAAAATGCCAGGGCTGGACCAGGCAGAACACAGGAATCCAGAACTCAGTCTGAATTTCTCATGTGAGCGGCGGGGACCCCATTGCTATAACCGTTACTGCTGCCTCCCCAGCTTAGGAATCCACAAGGAGTCGCAGGCAAAAATGGAGCCTGGACTTGAACTTGGTGCTCTGATGTGGGGCATAGGCTTCCAGCTGACAGCTTCATCCCTGCACCGTCCACCTGGGTTAGACCATGTCTTCTGATCATGTTTTCAGTGTTTAGAAGTGAGTCTCTGGGCCTGCATAATGGCTCAAATGGCTAGTCCTCTGCCTGCAAGTACCAGGGTTGCATCTGGGTGCTGGTTTGTTTCCTGGCTACTCCGCTTCCAGTCCAGCTCCTTGCTTGTAGCCTGGGAGATTAACAGAGGATGGCCCAAGACCTTTGACCCTGCACCTGCGTGGGAGATCTGGAAGAGGCTCCTGATTCGAACTGCCTCATCTCAGGGCTTAGCAGCTATCTGGGGAGTGAACCAGTACATGGAAGATTTTTCTATTTCTCTTTCTGTCTAAATATACCTTTCTAATGAAAATACATAAGAAAAATAAATAAATATGAAAGAAGAAGAAATTATTCTTAGTATGGTCGGCACCTTGATTTATTGTCAGAAGTATGAATTCAGAGGTCATTCAGGTTTTCAGTTGCTTGTAACGAATGTCATGATGATCATTTTTGTTCTTTCTTCTTTGGTCTCTTACCTGATTATCCAAATTTATGAGATCAGACAATGGTCTGTAGAACCTTAGGTAGCTTTTTTTTTGTTCTATTGCTGTTACTAGAGGTAAAACACTTAAAATAGGAGGTTGGCTTTTTTTTAGAAATACCTTCTCATTCACAGAGAACAGGAATATCTTCCCCTCCACAAAGATGAAAACAACTGGATTGCTTTCGAAATTCAACCAAGTGCACCACACACACTGATGAGTAGAATCAATAAGAACGTGATCTTGGCCCTTTTGACTTTGGCAAGTTCTGCCTTCCTGCTGTTTCAGTTGTACTACTACAAACACTATTTGTCGACAAAGGTAATTTCCAGCCCTCGTGTCATTCAAGACTTCATCTTAGATGTATACATTATTAACTCATTCCTTTGCAGTGCTTAAAATTAACTAACTTTTCGAATCTTTGGAAAGGTTTCTAAGTGATCTGTTTGAGAAACGAGAGTAATTTAAAATAGCAGCTTGTTCTTGATGATTTAAAGAGACCCTTGAGATTACATATTGGAGCAAAGGATGAAAAAAAAAATGGTTTTCTCTCTTATTCCAACCCATTGCTAGTAGCCGGAGGACTACAGAGATTTCCAGGCTCTTCCGGGGAGAGGGCTCTGCTGTCTATCATTGATAGGGATGGTTGCTATCCTGCAGTTAAGGGACATACTTCTGCCTGTTTTTAGGGCTTTACTACAAGAATTCCTTTGGCTGTAGCTGGTCAGACAAGCTCAGAAGATCTGTGATGCCTTTAATGAGGTCTGAAAAATCCCGTTCTCCAATAGCAGCGAAATGAAGAGCAAAAACATTGTATCTATTGGATTTGCTGAATTTTCATAGATGTGTCAAGTTTTCACATTCCAGAACAGTCCTCTAGATCTTTGAAATACAAACTCATGTATTTGGTGCTTTGTGGGCCTTATAAGCTCCAGCTTTAAGGACAGGTGCTCCTGGAGTTAATGATGAACTTGTGCTCTGAAAAACACGTTGCAAGTTGAAAATGCTTTTAATATACCTGACTGACTGAACATCTTACCTTAGCAACACAGACAGCTGTTGAATATCAGTTTTTACCTTCATGATAGCATGGCTCATCAGGAGCTACCCATCATCTCAAGAGAGTATCCATATTACATATCGTTAGCCCAGGCAACAGTTCAAAATGGTGTTTCTTCTGAAAGCATATCATTATTGCACCATCACGAAGTCAAAAAATTGTAAATTCAGCCTTTGGGGGCTTTTTGTAATTGGCTTGCAACTCATACTACAAAGGGAAGATCAAGTCTCTAGGACCCTGTAGGGAATTTTAATTGTTTCTTTTTTCCCTTAACCTAACTGAATATTGTGATAATAATTTCAGTTACTCATTTCATGTGTATTTATTGATCACTCTTTTGGTGCTGTGTGCTTAGTAGCAATTCAGAGGCAAATGGAAGAAAAGTGTTCACAGTTTGATAGACAGGCAATTGCAACAACTTTTGAGTTTTGCAGCTAGATAATCCTGACTTCAAATCTTCATTCAGTTATTTGGTTTTCAGCAAGTCATGTAATGTTTTTAAGCCTTTATTCAGGGCCTGGTGCGATAGCATAATGGTTAAAGTCCTTGCCTTGAACACGCCAGAATCCCACATGGGCACCGGTTCTAATCCCAGTGGCCCTGCTTCCCATCAAGCTCCCTGCTTGTGGCCTGGGAAAGCAGTTGAGAACAGCCCAAAGCCTTGGGACCTATACCTGTGTGGGACATCTGGAAGAAGCTCCTGGCTCCTGGCTTCGGATTGGCTCAGCCATTGTGGTCACTTGGGGAGTGAACCATCAGACGAAAGATCTTCCTCTCTCTCTCTCTCCTCCTTTCTGTATTTCTGCCTTTCCAATTAAATAAATAAATAAATAAAGTGGCACATTTATTTTTTAAAAAGCCTTTATTTAAACATGGCTGGTAGCAGTTTTACCCTTTGGGATGTTTGTGAAGCATCTAATACTGACCGGTACATGGTACATGCTCAGCATATGATAGCTATCAATAGGTTGTGTTTTTTTGGGTTTTTTTTTTTTTTTTTTTTTGGTAAGATATTGGAGCAATTACATTTTTTAAAGGATTTATTTATTTTCATTGGAAAGTCAGATTTACAGAGAGAAGAAAATACAGAGAGAAAGATCTTCCATCCACTGGTTCACTCCCCAAATGGCTGCAATGGCTGGAGCAGAGACAATCTGAAGCCAGGAGCCAGGAGCTTCTTCTGAATCTCCCACATAGGTACAGGGTCCATGGCTTTGGCCCACCCCCTACTACTTTGCCAGGCTATAAGCAGGGAGCTTGATGGGAAGTGGAGCAACTGGGACACAAACCAGTGCCCATAAGGGAACACGGTGCTTGCAAAGTGAGGCTTTAGCTGTTGAGCCATCATGCTGGGCCCACCATCAGACCTACCAGTCTTTTTGCCATCTGATTTTGTCCATCTTCTCATATATTCATATCCTTTAGTTTTCATTTCAGATTTCCCATAGAGAATATTTAAGAATAGCCATGAGCAATTATCAATCACTGACACTTTAAATATATAGCCTTTCTTTTAACTATGTTCAGTAACTCATCGGTCAAATGTTTGTTGAAAGTTCAAATACCACGCACAATATTAAATCATGAAACACAGTAAGGAATAAAGTTCAATTCTTGCTGTCTAGGAAATCACACATTGGTGAAGTTCAGGATCACAAGGGGTGATAGGTTAAGAAACAGAGATGATATACAGGTAACATGTTACATCTTATAAACGCATGGTAAAACTATGCTGCCTCCTGTGCTACTTAAACCTTAACAGCACTTCTGCCCCCTAGTGTTCAGCCTTTGTATTCCTGTTCTTTTTCTTCGGAGCCGATCAGATTATTATCTATATAGCATAACTATGCTGTAAATGCACACTTGCTAGGATCTTAGAATACCTAGTTCTGGGTATTCTCTGATTGCTTTTCCAGATCCTCTCTACTATTCTGCACCCAGGAGGCTGACCCGTATGGACTGCATTCACTGAACTCCCTTATACTTTGGTTTCCAGTTGGGTTCTGTCAGTGGAAAGTATTAGCTAAATATTGGACAGGAGGAAAAAAGAGAAGTCAGATTATGTATTCTCTTGGTTCTCTGTGAATAGGCTCATCGGCTGATCATGACTGCATTGCTCCTGCTCCCCTGCATCTCCGGAATGGATTAGCCATTACAAAAAAAAAAAAAAATGCCTTGTATTTCATTAAAAAAAAAAAAAAAAAAAAAGACCACTAAGATTGTGTGATCTTTAGGCCCTGTAAAATTGAGTCTTCCAATGTCTGTTTCTCTGACCCTTCAAGCTTGTGTAGATGCAAAGTCTTCAGGAAATATAAACTGCTGAATGATATACTTAAGAAGGTTATTATTGAATATTTCATAGCTAGAATAAGAGTTTGAGGTTCTCTTGTGCGCTGAGAAGGAGTTCTTCAGGTGAACTGGAAAGATGAGAAGTCCATTACTGATCAAATAGATAGCCACTTCAGATGCAAATGAGCTCTTGGGATGTCTAAGAGAGCAGAACAGTATGTAGAAACCAAAGGAAGCACAGATGTCTAGGCAGGAATGCACCCGGGGGTTTCGGGCTCATTGTAAAGATGTGTGTAGCTGTAGGAGGAGCGAGGCAGGCAGAAAAAGACCAGTTCCATGTTGCTGAGGTCCTTAAAAGCCATAATAAAGATTGCTTTGATTCTAAGTGAAATTGGGAACCATAGGAAAGTATTGAATTGATACATAACATGACCTGAATTTTTAAAATAAGTATTCTGGATGCTTTATTAAGAACAGATAATGGAGGGGTTGGCATATGGCACTGCGGATTAAGCTGCAGCACTGGCACCCCATTAAGATGCTGGTTTAAGGCCTGGCTGCTCTGTTTCTGATCCAGCTCACTGCTAATAAGCAGCGGACCCAAGTGTGTGGACTCCTGCACCGACAGGGGGGGCTTGAAAGAAGCTCCTCCTCCTGACCCAGCTCTGGCTGTTGTGGCCATTTAGGAAGTGAAACAGCACATGGAAAATCCTCACTTTTTCTGCCTTCCTTCTCTATCTCTTACTCTACCTTTCAAATTAAAAAAAAAAAAAAGACCATAGTGTTATGATCAGGACAGAGAGGATGAAGAATCAGGAGTTAATGCCAGTAGGAATGTGATTTCTTTTGGGAAGAGTGAGATTATTCTGAATTTAAGTAATGGTGGTAGTTGTATAGCTCTGTTAGTGTACTGAAGTTATGGAATTGCTGTGTCAATCAGTGGATTCTTCAACGACCTCATCGTCCTTGGAGTGGCGAGATTGGCAGCAATTCATAACTGGTGAACTATCAAAACCACTTGAGCAAGACCCTCGGAGCATGCCCCACATCAGGGACCAGGGGTGGGGGAGAGACTGGGGGGGGCTTGTCCCTTAATATTCCCCTTTACCCCAGATGCATGAAAAAAACAATATGGAAATAATATTCTTACCCACTTTCCTGTAGCCCTTGAACCTTTTTAACTATGTAATGATTATCAAAACTATAATAAAAAAGGGAAAAAATATGAAATTCTAGACTTTAGAAGGGTAACTTCTGTGATCTGTTAAATATATCCAGTGTAGGTATACAGATCATCTGCTATGTCCATTGGAAGTTTACATGTCCCATACTCAGCAAGTTTAACAACTCAGAAGCTTATTCTTATATAGCAATGTGAAGATGTTGTGAGTAAATGGCTGCATGATACTTTGTAGCATCTTCTCAGGCTTGTAGGGTTACGGAGCTACCTTTCTGAGGTTTGTTTTTTTGTTTTGTTTTTTTCCTTCCCAGCTGTCTTTCTTACTTAAATGTTACACAGTGCTTATGAGGAAAGCCCAATTCTGGCGGTGCCTTAATTGCTCCTTCCTTTCCTAATTCTTCTTTCCCCCATTCCTTCTCCTTTCAGTCTTAAGCATTTACTGATGGTCAAGCACTCTGCTGGCCTGGGTGATACAAAAATGGATTGGACTTTGTCCCTTCCCTTGAGTATACAGTTTAGTTGGAAGGTGATCTCATTTTCAGGAGGTTGAAGGCTAATTCAGTGCTGCTCTGTTGCTCTTCCACGTCCTCCCATCTGTGGTCTGAAGATAAGGAATGCTTCAAAGCTAGAAAAACAAAAGTATTTTCTGAGTGTCAGTCTTGTTATCTCTGGGCCATCAGACACATTCTCCTATTTGTTTCAGAATGTCTTTGGGTATTTCAATGAAAACTGCCATTTTTCTTTATTCTGATTCTCTAGAACTTAATTTAAAAAAAATTTAAGAAAATAGCTCAACATTTGCAATTACTGTGTATAACACGGTAAGTAGAGCCACTGGAGCAGTCAGTAAAGCAGAAATAATGGCATGTCAGATTGTATCTGACACTTTGGAGCTGTTCAATAGATGTTATATTTTTCTCATCACTCGGCCAACGATAAGTAATAATTCTGTGTGTGGAGTAAGTTAGGAATAGAGAAGTGAACGCATGAACCCTAGCTCAGAGAAATGGCAAGGAGTTTGCTGTTTGTTGATGGAGATTAATTGACTCAGAGATGTTGGCCATAAATGCGGTTCTATTTAATAGCCTGAATAACTTAGTGAAGGCTGTGAATGCTTTCCTTTTTTGGGTTGTTGCATTAATAAGATTGTTGAATTATTACTTTATAATTTTATGGTAATTTGAATAATTTTTGATGGTTATGAGCTAATTATTTCCTAAAATAAGTCTTTACCATTTTCCTAGAATGGAGCTGGTTTATCAAAGTCCAAAGGAAGCAAAACTGGATTTGATAGCTCCCAATGGGTATGTATAATAAGTAAGAAATCAAATTATAGTTTTCTCTTAGTTTGTTGTTTGTATTCCATAATGAATGTTTGAAAAGGCAACAGGAGCAGTGTCTGCCTTGAGGGGAAGGAAAAGTACATAGTGGCAGGGAAGAGAAAGGTTCTGTGTCAAATGTTTATGGATTTTGTTTTATCTGTATTATTGTTACTTATTTTTTTAAAAAAATTATTTATTTTTATTGGAAATTTTTATTAAAATTGAGTTGATAGCCTAATGGCTAAATCCTTGCCTTGCATGCACCGGGATCCTGAATGGACACCAGTTCATATCCTAGCTGCTCCACTTGCCATCCAGCTCCTTGTTTGTGGCCTGGGAAAGTAGTCGAGGATGTCCCAAAGCCTTGGGACCCTGCACCCACATGGGAAATCTAGAAGAGGCTCCTGGTTCCTGGCTTCGGATCAGCTCAGCTCCAGCTGTTGCAGCCACTTGGGGAGTGAACTAGCGGACAGAAGATCTTTCTGTCTCTCCTCTCTGAATTTGCCTTTCCAATAAATACACTTTTTAAAAAATGAATTGTTAATGGAAAAGACAAAATAGCGTATTTTGGTCCAAATCTTTTGCTGAGAAAGGCCATTAGGAAGCATTACAGACATGAAGGAAAGGAGCACACAGCATGTATTTTTTTGGCTTTGAGAGACTGACGTTACAGTTTTTAAGGCTGGCAGATCAGATACTTCCTCTTTCTTTACTTGAAAAGTTGTAGGTAATACCAAGAGGGTAACTAGTAAGCCCAGAATTTTATCTCAGATGCTACTTGCTTTATAAAGATTTCTTTTTCTTTTAATGTTCAATTGATTGGTATCTTACTGATAATAGATTGTATATGTTTATGTTATGGTTTTTGTATTCTATAATACATTTATATCTATATAATAAACTGGTACTTTCTGTTTGGTATCATAGATATTAATCTTTCATGTATACTTCTTGAAAGCAGGGACTTCACATGTTATTGTTTGATTTAGTGCAATAACCTTGACATCTATTGGGTACATGCTGTATATTCTTGTAAAACTTATGAATAGAAATTTAACAAAAATAGATTTTTGTATTTAGTGGAATTAAGAGAATTCTTTCTCTCTCAAACAGCGTGCTGTTAAAAAATTTGTTAAGTTAACATCCAGTCAAAATGTCCCGGTTTTCCTTATTGACCCTTTCATTCTGGAATTGATTACTAAAAACATTGAACATGTGAAAAATTCCTCCCACGGCTCCACTTCAGAATGCAAGTTTTTCTGTGTTCCCAGAGACTTCACTGCGTTTGCACTGCAGTATCACCTATGGAAGAATGAGGTAAGGTCTTTTCCCCTCGGTAATGGGTATATGTCTTACCACAAATAGTATGAGATTAAAGCATCAGAATTATGTTCAAAGCAGAAACATGAGAGAAGGGAATGGTAACATTTATCTAGAACTTCTCAGCATCTTCTGGTAAGCTGCTGTACAGAACCATACTCACATGTTTCCTAGTTGTAAAGCAGGCTAACAAGTGGGTGGTTGTTTACGGTCTTGCACTGTTGTATACAGACAGGCAGAGATTTGGTGACACATCTTCAGCGTGTGCCATACAAGGTATTCAGGCGCACAGTATCTCCAGTTTGTAGTGCCATTTTTCCCGTTTTCTAGATGTGTAGAGTATTGCCTTGCTCCTTGGATAGATTGCTTGTTTTCACTTGTATTTCCATCCTGCTTAATGATTGTTAGAAAGCCAATCACGAATCCAAAACAAAATGAAGCACAAACTAAAACCTCTTCTACACATGGCAAAAATGTGCTTTATTCACTATTTTTATTACCTGTAACGTCTTCATTTCACTCTTGTTCATTCCTAGAAATTGTACAAGTAGGAAGACTAGCATAAGATTGAAAGAAATGTCAGAGTTGTGGAAATTATACATTCCCATTCATGTTGTAAGATGTTTTTGATACCATTTAACCATCTTTAACACTGGTTGTTGAGACTAAGACCAACATTTGTATAATAGCTAATTTTATTACATGAGATTTCTACTACAAGGAATGATGTTGGAGATTATGTCGTATAGTATGTTTCAGCCTGTTTTCTGATTATTTGCATTATGATAAGGTTTTTAGATATAGCTATGAGCTGAAAGGACTGCTTTTTAGAACAGAAGAAGATTTGTTCATTTTTGTTGGAAAGATAGATCAGATTTATGGAGAGGAAAGACTGAGAGAGAGCGATCTTCCATCCAGTGGTGACTCCCCAGATGGCTACAACAGCTAGAGCTGAGCCAAACTGAAGCCAGGAGCCAGGAGCTTCTTCCAGGTCTCCCATGTAAGTACAGGGTCCCAAGACTCTGGACTATCCTCTACTGTCTTCCCAAGCCACATGCAAGGAGCTGGTTGGGAAGTGGAGCAGCTAGGATATGAACTGGTGGCTATGTGGGTCCCAGCAATGTGAGGACTTAGCCATTGAGCCAAGATGCTGGGCCTGAAAGGACTGCTTTTAAAGGTGTTTTTGAGATGAGGTTAGAAGGTAAGATAAGTTTAGGGCTTAGCACAGTGGCTCAACAAGCTAATCCTCCTCACATAGGGCAAGAATTCCATATAGCTGCCAATTCTGCCAATTCCCAGCTACTCTGCTTGCAGTCCAGCTCTCTGCTTTTGGCCCAGGGAAGCAGTGGAGGATAGCTGACGTCCTTGGAACCCTGTGCAAACATGGAAGACCTGGAGGAAACTATTGCCTCCTGACTTCAGTATGGCTCAGCCCTGGCTAATGTAGCCATCTGGGGAGTGAACCAGCAGATGGAAGATCTTTCCGTAGGTGTTTTCTCCTCTCTGTTAGTCTGTCTTTCCAATACAAATAAATCAATCTTTATCTCAAAAAATAATTGTGTTTAATTTTAAATGCTGTATTTATATAACTGTTTACTTTATAGAAACCAGAGATGATTAAAACAAGCGTTCTCATTCCTAAGCAGCATTTTGTATCAGTTTTCATAAGTGCTCTGAACATTTCTTCCATTGCTGCTTGTCTCTCTGCTTCCTTTATTCTCTCAACACTTCTGCATATCACCCTCATTTTAGTGCGAGAACATGCTTAATGCATTGTTGGGATCACTTTAGTCTTGCTGCTAGTATTTGGCTTCGAGTCCAAGCTTGATGTGTCTTCGGTTCCAGGAAGGCTGGTTCCAGGTAGCTGAGAGTATGGGCTTCCAGTGCCTTAAGATTGAGAGCAAAGATCCTCGGCTAGATGGAATTGACTCACTCTCTGGAACCGAAATCCCCCTGCACTACATCTGCAAATGGGCCGCACATGCCATCCAGCTGGTGGTCCTTCACGAGAGAAGTGGCAACTACCTCTGGCATGGCCATCTGCGACTGAAAGGACACGTTGACAGGAAATTTGTTCCTTTTCGAAAGTTACAGTTTGGTCGTTATCCTGGAGCTTTTGACAGGTAAGTTATGACGCAAAGGGGGAAATATGGGATCGTAGTTGTAAAGTCATGAATTTATGTACTTTCTGATGTACTTTCACATAAATGCTCACAGTGACTTTGACTTACTTGTTTTTTTGTTGTTGTTTTTTGAAAGAAGGAGAGAGTACTGTCATCTCTGGTTCGCTCTCTAAATCGCCTCTATGATGGCTGGCTAGGACAGGAGGTAGCCCAGCCCAAAGCCAGCGGCGAGCAAGGACAGGAGTTAGAGGACCCAAAGCCAGCAGCCAGGAACTCAGGCCAGCTCTCTCCGATGGTGGCAGGAACCCTTTCACTTAAGCCATTAACAGTAAACATTTGTCTCTCCCTTTGAAGTTTGCTAGAAAGAATTTTCACATTCAGATCTTTCTTTAAAGATATATTTTTACTTGAAAAAGTAACACAGAGGAGAGGCAAAAAGAGAAAGTGATATCTTTAATCCACTGAATTGCTCCCCAAAGGTTCACAGCAGCTAGAGCTGGGCTGATCTGAAGCTTGGATCCAGGAGCTTCTTCAGGTCTCCCGTGGGGGTGCAGGAGCTAAGGCTTTCCCAGGCCACAGCAGGCACTGGAAGTGACACAGCCAGGACTTGAACCAGCGCTCATATAGAATGCTGGTGCTGCAGGCAGGGGACTAGCATGTTGCATCACCACACCAGCCCTCAAATCTTTTGGAAATGTATAGTGAAAGTCTCCTCATTTGCTAAACTTGAGGAGTGTGAAAGTGTATGTATTTTTTTCCTGGAATGACAAGGCTCATCTTTCTCATTTTTTATTATGCAGCTGTTAACATAAAAATAACCTTTTAAAATCGCTTATTGGAGAAGCAGCTGAATAAGGCATTGGAGAATTCTACATTTTTAAAATTTACTTTTATTGGACAGTCAGATATACAGAGGAGGAAAGAGAGGAAGATCTTCCATCTACTGATTCACTCCCTAAGTGGCTGCAATGGCTGAAGCTGAGCTAGTCCAAAGCCAGGAGCCAGGAACTTCTTCCAGGTCTCCCAAGTGGGTGCAGGGTCCCAAGGCCTTGGGCCATCCTCAACTGCTTTCTCAGGCCACAGGCAGGGAGCTGGATGGGAAGTGGGACCACTGGGATTAGAGCCAGCGCCTGTATGGGATTCTGATGTGTGCAAGGTGAGGATTTTAGCCACTACACTATTGTGTTGGGGCCTTGTTTGATTTGTTTTAAAACATGCACTCAAATAAATCTTAAAAAAAAAAAAAAAACCCTGAATTCTCTAGAAGTGTAAGTTGGTAGTTTTAATTTATAAGTCACTTCTTTTCTTTTAAAATGCCAAAGTAGAAAATAACAAGTATAAAAATGTTTTAGGAATTGGCATTTAACTTGCACTGAATTTGATCTCCAGCTCTGTCTCCTGACTCCAGTTTTGTGGCAAGGCAGACCCCGGGAGGCTGTAATGATGGTTCAAGTAACTGGGTTCTTGATAACCACATGGAAGACTTTGGTTGAATTTTCAGCTCCGTTTTCTGCACCCAGCCCTGCCCAGCCCCTGCCATGGCAAGCGTCTGTGGAATGAATGAATTGATGGGAGCATTCTCTTTCTCCCCTCTCTCCCCCTCTCAAATAAATCTTTAAAAACATTTGTAATATCTTGATTACACTATGTAAAACTTAGTTGGTGTTGGATGCCAGATTTTCCAGTTCTTGCTGAAGCTGCTGATTGATACTGATAAATTTTGCCGATGTTTAGTATTTTGAAGAGGCTTCCAATTATTCTGGTGTATATTTCTTTTCAGACCAGAGTTACAGCAAGTTACTGTTGATGGACTGGAAGTTCTCATTCCAAAAGATCCAGTGCGCTTTCTAGAAGAAATACCACACTCTCGGTTCATCGAGTGTAGGTATCAGGAAGCTCGAGCTTTCTTTCAGGTTGGAGACATTCAGCTAATGCGCTTTTGAGCTAAAAGGGAGTGTGTTTATGTGCAATGATTTGTTGGGGAAAATTGAGGGACTTGCGGAAAATAGATAAGAAAGCATCGTCTCAGTTAATTTGTTTTCTTCTAGCTTCTTTTTTGTTTTTTTAATTTTCAAAACTTCCACTATTTCTCTCCAAAATGAATAGATCAATATTTATTTATTTGGAGAGAGTGAAGCCTCTGTTCGAGGTGGACTGTGTAGATTTAGAGGACACTTCATTGAAAATGCAGTTTTTCCTCAGAGTTGGCAGTGAATTTGAGTTTTTTGTGTTTATGAAGGTTTTGAAGATAAATGCTATCCAAAGGCCAGGTGCGTTTTGAACTTTATTCTGCTGCTCTAGCCTTCAATACAAACCACATTTAATGGGTCTTGAATTGTTTCAGTGTTTCCTGTGCATCTGACCCTGGGGATATAAAGGTGATTTTGAAGGGTATGAAAGTTCACTTCGAAGAGATGACGTGAAATAGGAATACAGTAAGAAACAGGCAAACTTGCAGTGCGGTTTTGTACTTTAATCCACTTGCCCTTTAAGTTCTGGTGTCCTTGCCAAGAAAACTGCATATGCAAGGATGGGAATGAAACTGCCAGTTTTTCAAGACCCACAAAGGCAAACTTCTCTGGTGTGTTGTGCTACCTCTCAAGACGTTGGCCAGACAGCCAGACAAGCTTTCTCAACCAGATTCGTTAAATCTATCATTGTAGAGCTGTGAAATTTACCTGCCCAGCCTCATGAATGAAAAGCTGGGATAGATGGTTCTATCGCAGTGTGGAGGGAACTGTTCTAGCAGACAGGTTGCAGCCTGACACGTCCCCACCACACAGTAATGTGGAGTTTGATGCTTCAGTGTAACCACTGTCTTCTGGCAAGAAGGGAGCTTGCCAGGCTGCCACCTGTGTCATAGCGGTTATCACAGTGAGTGTGCCCCTACTGAAATTATGTGAACTTCTTACTAGAAGGCATCTCATTTAATTCACCTCTGAAGGCCCAGTGTCAACCACATTACTTGGCACAAAGAAAAGATCTTATAAATGCCTAGAGAATAAGGTGTTCATCTGAATTGAATGACTTTTTTTAATGATACTTTTTAGGGCTGCTTCATTAACTGGCATGCATTTTCCCATTTGTTTTCTTGGTCCTGGTGAGAACATAATATAAAACTTGAAATGTTTTCAGATACTGAGAAATCATGGAGTAATGTCCAATTGTTTTAACTCTGCATTTTTTTACTCTTGCCTCTGACATGTGGAAGGACAGGACTAAGCCAACATGTACAGGAGAATGTAGATGGCATGCAATCAGAGGGCTTAGCCGCTGAGCAAAGCCCCAGAGTTTCAATGTTTAATGTGCCATTAGATAGCAAGGCTGTCATGCTGGCTGCTGGCTCACAGTCACAAAATATGGTTAATGAACTTCACGTTCATTCTTCATCTTATTTTTCTACACCCTTCGTTTGTACCAGGCAGTGGTTCCTAATTTGTTTTTTTCTCCTTCTTGTGTATTGGCATTGCTGGTATAAAGTCTCTAATGAGATTGATAAATTTTTTTCATACTTAACCTTTTAAAATCTCATTCTTTATTTCTTACATCGGAGCCTTGTTTGTAAGTTTTCAAATTAAAGTGAACATACATATATTTGAACACTTGATGGCGCCAGTCATTCTTAAATACAATGACCACTGTAAAATAATCAATAAATTAATCTTTTTCTAGTGTAGCCTCCTAGCATTCTTCTTTCGTAACACTTTTTCAGATGATTTTGGAATTGTATAAATGTTGTATATAAGACACAAATAACTTTTTGTTTCTGAACTTCTTTGGAGTAAGCTATCATCCAAACAGCCTTGAATCTTTCACCACTTCCTATACACATAGAACATTCTCATATGTGTGCTGATAGAATATCTAGGAAACTAACACATATGTTATTGCCTCTTAATCCCCATTCAGGTTCTGCTGATTGTTCCAATAATAACCTTTATAATAAAGAAATCACATGTTGTGTTAATTTTCTTGCCTCTTTAGTCCCCTTCAGTTTGGGAGACTTTCTCAGTCCTTTTGTGACTTAACATAACTTTGGTACTTTTCAAGATTACAGAATCGACATTGGTGTCAAATATCCCTCCTATAGATTGTCTCATTTGGATTCAGATAGAATCTCAAAATGACCCCTTGTTCTTTTCCTCATTGCTGACTAGTTATTGCCTACTTTTGATTTGTCTCGTTACTGCTGATGTTCACCTCATTAACTTGATTCAAGTGCTGACACCTTCATTCCTCTGAGGTCCTATTTTGGATTTTGGATTTGTGTTCCTGTTCACTGGTTGAACAGGAAAAATCAAATGGACATTATTTTTAAGCCAGAGTAATTTTGTCTTTGTATAGAGACAAGGATGGTAATTCCAGGATTTATAAATGGGATTTTTAAATGAAAGAAAAAATAATTTTAATGCTATAATTTCAATGCCCATTTTATACATGTGTCTAGTTTAACACATGTTGAGTTAGTTTTAAGAAATGGAGCTTTTGAGAGTGTCTTATTAGCAAAGGTGTATTATGGAACTCATCTGAACATACGAGAGACAGCCCCAGTAGGCGGGACTGTCACAGCTGATGTCCTGTGGAGCACAGACTGATGGTGTCTGCCGTTGAATGTGTTCCTTTTAGTTGCCCTCTGCAATTCGGGAAGTGTTCTCCTCTAACTGATAAAGAAACCGATTCTTCAGGATCCCAGTGACACAGTCATTATTGGCTGAGAGTGGACTAACTCCTAGGCCTGGAAACTCCTAGCTTAATATTCCTATAAACCTTTTAGGAACTATAAACTTTCCTGCTGCGTTGTACAAAGATTGCAGGATTTGTCAAGATTTTATAGGCAGAGGAGGGACTTCATAAATTATTTGTTTACACATGCATCCATATGTTATGCTCACAGATGCACCATTCTGCATCCACAGGCACTGTGATGAACAAATGTTGTTCCTGCCCCAGAGCAACCATCTTTGCAGTCTAGTGAAGACAGTGAAAATAAAATCAATAAATAGAATTAAATGTAAGAAATACAGTAAACATTGTGTATGCAGTAACTGTAAGCTCACCGAGGAAACATTTCATTTGTGTGTCTAATACCAAACATGGTTCTTTGCTCTAAATGTACTGAATAAAACCAGTGGAGGTGTAAGTGCGCACGTCTTCGTGGGACAATCAGAAGGTTTTTCTCAGAGGCTGGATGTGAGAGCTGAAATGTTTGTTAGTCAAGGATAGAGCAGATCAATAGCGAGTGTGAAAGTACAGAGGGGAATATGAAAGTGCGAGTTTGAAAGCCAGGAGTTAGTGTTTATTGTTGAGATAAGTAGCATGGGAAAGATATGGAGAGGAGGCTGGGCCAGTATTCATGGAGCAGAACACTGAGTTCCGCGTTCGTGCCAGAGCCTCAAAGGCCAAGAAGTTTAGATCTTATCAACAGGTAGTGAAATATCATTATAGAATTTATGTGCTTTCTTCAGTTCCTGAACATTGTAATAATGAAGAAAGTTACAAAAGGAAAGACAGCAAAATAAATGCTAATGTTTGCTCGAAGTTTCATAATTCACAGAGTATTTTTTCACCTTCAATCTTCACAGCAATCCTACAAAGTATAATTATTATCTCTAAATTAGAAAAGTAGATCTAAAAGAGATTTATTTATTCTTTCTTTCATTCATTCAATAAATGTTAACCACTGTCCTGGGTACTGGAGGTAGAATGATAAATAAGATGAAGTGGCTTTTCTCATTAGAGCATATATTTTTCTAAAAGAATATGTCCAGGTTCATAACTAGAAAGGAATGAAGCTATTTTTGAATTCAGATAAGCTGGTTCGGAGTTCCAGGCCCTTCTGCTCTGCTGCAGCCTATGAGGACCAGTGTTTTCAGGGACTGATGAAGGCAGCATGGAGTTCGTTTTGCTTCTGCTATAATTACCCTCTTTTTCCCTGCTTGCCCAACTTGCTAAATTGTGCAGTTAAGGAGGAAGCTAATAAAGGTTTGTCCTTTTCAGCTTGTCTCTCCCAAAATCTACTCCTGTAATCTCATTTTAATGTATGATTGAAAGTTATTCAAACTTATTTTTATAATAGAAAAGAGTTATAATATGGGAATAATTTTCAAATTTAGGTGTCAGAGAAATATTTGTAGAACTGGCTATAGTAGATGACTTTTTTGTTGTTGTTGTTATCTATAGCAATACCTTGATGAGAACACTGTGGAAGCTATGACCTTTAGGAAGAATGCAAAAGACTTAATACAACTAGCAGCCAGGACACTGAAGAACTTAGGAGTACAGTTCTGGCTGAGCAGTGGAACTTGTCTAGGTAAAGTTCGGTTGCTTGACATTTCTCTTTTTGTCACTTCATTGTCTGACCTTGTGGAAGTGAGATGACATCAGTGATATTTGGTGTGTCGTATTTTTAGGCAGAATTAATAATACACTGAGGAAAGGTCTATAGATTTTTTTTTTTTGAAAAAAGAAACTAGTTGCAGAAAGATGAAATGGAATGTTAAGGCCATGCTTGTGTTTACTCAAAAAGAAAATAAGTGATGTGTACGATATTTATATCAGAACATTCAGGTTATAGCACAGTCTTCCGTAATTGTCAGTTTTGTTATTTCTGTTCCAAAGGTTAATATTGTTTAAAAAAGAAGCATATTTATTCTGTATTTATGCATTGTGCAGATTGCTTGCATTGGTAGCAAAGGTTTGTAAAGAGCCAAGATTGAAAACACTGTCCTACGATCTTCCGGTAACCTTTCTCTGATCTGAGCCCAGGCCATTTATACCTTACTGTTGGTCTGAGATGGGGAAATCCAGACGTATCTCTAATCTGTAGGAAGGTTGTCATTAGAATTTGAAAGTGTTCTGGCTCTCTGTCTACTATACACTGAATCAAACTTCTGTGGGACTCAGAATGATTAGAATCCTAAATTTGTCCTGTTTTTGTGTGTGTCACTAATTGATTATAACTATGCTCTTTCGTGATTGTAACAGTTTTTTGCACAATGCCCAATTCAGCTGCCATTTTTATAGGGTTTCTTACCATCAAACTTATTATCTACCTAATTCAATGGACTTTGGGGCATGAAAGGCAGGTTCCATTAATAACTATATTGGGGAGTAGATAGACTTAGCAGTTAAAACGACAGTGAGACTCCCTGGAGCTCACATTGAAATGCTCCGCCTGACTTGGGGTTCTAGCTTCAGAGTCCTGCCTTTGAGACCCTGGGAGGGGACAGTGACAGCTCAAGTATTTGCATTCCTGCCACCCATGGGCGAGAACTGGGTTGTGTTCATGGCTGCTGACTTCAGTCGGCCCCACCTAGGTCATAAGCACTTGGAAAGAGAACCAACAAATGAGAGCTCTCTGTCTCTCTCTTTCCCTCTCCCTCCCTGTCAAGTAAATAAATTAGTAAATACTTGAAATTAATATTGGTGTGCCAGGTCTAGAGTGGGGTTTGTAGCTGTCTTGTATGTTAGACTTTGTGGAAATTTTAGACGGTTCTTGTCAAGTAACTAACCATCGGAGCAATCCGAAAAATGAATACATCTTACATATTTCTGATATTTGCTTAAGGTTTAACTTTTTAGAAACAAGATTGTTTTTTAGTTGACATCATGAAAAATATTTCTTAATCATCTGTCATGAGTTGCTTCGAGATTTTAGCTCCATGGTTTTCTTGATTTAAGGAAGCTAAGTGATATCTAAGAACACTTCTGTTTTAATGATTTATAAATTTTTGATAGAAATCTTTTGAAATTCCAAATAATGTTGCCTGAAAATAACACCTGTAAGGATAATTACAGAGCATTGATAACTTTTGGCAGTGTATTGAAAACTGAAGCTGATGCTGCTTTTTTATGTGAGCCATAAGATATGAGCTGTTCAGATCTATCACAATGTATAAATTATTGGCCCCAGAAAGGCATAGTCCCTGAGCAAAATATTTTAACAATTTCAGTATGTCTTACAGTATACTAGTAGCCTAGTATACTGTAGTAGATTAGATGTAGTCTACATCACTAGAGACTTACGATGAAACAATCCAAAGAATGACTTAATTTTAAAATTTTTTTTGTCCCAGTTAACATTATTAAAACTAGTAGTCATTAAGTGGTTAAAAAATTTATCATAAAATCTTTTGAGGGAATTGAAGTGTTCACTCCAGTAAAGATAGCTAGATAGGTAATAGGAACAGATAGATAGGCTTGTTCAGTAAAGATTGGTAGTTCTGTCAGTTGATTGATAGGCAGGAAGGTAGATCAATAAATCTTCAATTAGTGACTCCTCTAACTACTTCTAAGTTAGGATTTCATTTTTTAAAAAATAATTTTGGTAAAGTGTGAAATAAAATCAACTTAAACAGAAATCATTCATTTTGTAATAAGTAGTTATTTTTTCCAAATCAACTGTTTTTTTAAGTTGTTTTCTTGTTTTTAAATTTTTAGGATGGTATCGGCAATGCGACATTATTCCTTATAGTAAAGATGTTGACCTAGGGATTTTTATACAAGATTATAAATCTGATATTATTTTAGCTTTCCGGGATGCAGGACTTCCACTCAAACACAAGTTTGGGAAGGTCAGTAGCAACTGCCTTTATTTCATAAATAATGTTTCATTTGCAAAGTTTGTATTAAGGAACTCAGACATGCCTGAGGGTGCTGTATACATAATTTTATCACTCATTATTGCCCAGAACGAGTTTAGCAGAAACTTACTAACACCTGTGATTTCTGTCCTATTTGAGGAAATGCCAGAAAATCTACTTCCTGTTGATGATGTAGGAAGGATCTAAGACACTTGGAGATTAATTTATTGCCATTATATTGGAAAGTATCATGATATTGAATTAATATAACATGTAACATCAATTAACATAACAAGAATCTCACCTGCCTCTCTGAAGTTATATTGAATCTGTGTGTACCCAAGCATAGAGGTGATTATCAATATGAAATATCCCGCTGATTGCTGCCCTCTTGATTATCTTACTGCAGATTATAACAAAAAACTTCCATCATGACCCAGATGGAAGGTCACAGCACACAATTAGATTTCTGTACCCAAAGCCAATGACCCTTTGCAGTCATCTTGGTCTTAATTTCCTTGTTTCCTACCAAGCAAATAGAAGTATGTTTAGCCATTGGAGAAGTATTTCTGATATGATAAATAATCACTGTTTTATTAAAACATTACTAAAATGTATTCCTGAGGACAGAGTTAAAGCAGTGGAGCTCTCGTCATTCAGCAAACACATGCTGAAGATTTCACTGTGTGTTTGGCACTGAGCACTGCACCTGAGACTCAACAATGCATAAATTATAGCTCTCACTGTTGAGGAACTACCTAATTGGAAAGAAAAAAAAAACACATGGTTATTATGCGATTAGTGCTGTAACAAACAGATGCACCATGCCCAGTGGGAGCATAAATATTTGAAAGATTAATTTCTTTAGGGAAATGTTCTCAAAATCATTTTTTCCATGAGTCTTAACTTTTTTTCTCATGTACAAGTGTGTGAAATGTTCATGGAAAACTGGAATTAAGCATAACTGTTTTGATGCAAAAGTTTTTTTGAAATCTATGTGTAGTTGACTCATAACATGCATTTTCTATGAATTTTTAGAAGGTCCCTGATATATATAGAATCAAAATTTTTGGCACCAAATTAAGCATATATTTAAAGATTTTGTTCATTTTTATGTACCTGACGGGCACAGTGAAAAACACACAGAGAGACAGTCACATACACATATAAGAGAGAAACAGATCTGTCAAACAGTTACTTCCTGTTTGCCCACAGAAGCCTGGGCTAGGCCAGGCCCGTCCCAGAAACTGAGAACTCTTGGCCTGTGGAAGTCAAGGACCAAAGTACCTGAGCCGTCACCTGCCACCTCCACAGGTGCCAAGTAGAAAGAAACTGACTCGGCTGCAGAGTCAGGAACTGAACCCCTGGCACTCAGAGTGCAGATGTGCCACCTGTTAGCCTAGCTCACTGTGCAGCAACACCCGCCCCTTGCTTTTTTATTCCACTTTTCATGAACTTGCTAAGTGTGTTTGTATATAATCTAATGACCCATGCTGTGCATATGATGATGTATAATACAGTGGAAAGACTTAATCGTTGTAATGAGAGGCTTATTTCCTAATATTTTGGCTTGTTTGTTAAAGGAGTCATTTTGATTTCTTTCCTGATTCAGCAGGAAAGAGGCTCTGGAATGCTGTTTCTACTTCCTCTGCAGAGTTAAAAACTACCACAGGTCCCTGACTGAGGTATCGGGAAGAGGCAGCATTGTTTTGTATGCATTTAAGAAACTAGATGATAGCGTGCTGCCCAATTTCAGAAGTGCTTCATCTTGAAAAATGTGCAGCTTTGAATTGACACTCTACCCATATAAAACAGGACCTTTTTCTCTGTAAAAAGAAGTTAAATGTGCTTCATTCTGTAAAGGTCTTGTCTTCCTCCTAGGTAGAAGACAGCTTGGAACTATCCTTCCAAGGAAAAGAGGATATAAAACTTGACATTTTTTTCTTCTATGAAGAGAACGATCATGTATGGAATGGAGGCACCCAGGCCAAAACGGGGAAAAAATTTAAGTACGTATTAGATAAGTACTTATAAAGGGGGTTGTAGCTATGATTTTAAAAGGTAGACATAAGAAAGTAACTGCAAGTGGGAAACAAACAGTAAACAAACTTTAAAGGCTCCATTATTATCTACTACTTTCTCAGCTCACCTGTAGAATCCATTTATGCTCCTGAAGTAAGAACTGCCTGTGACGAGGAAGTGTCCAAGTGTCCCTGGGTGTAGCAATCCAAGGAATCATGATTAAAGCCCCTGAGTCATCAGAAAGAGAATACTCAAACAAGAAACACAGAGATTAAGCCCAGCACCTAAATCACAAAACTCGTGGCCAGAGTAGTGGTAGCTTGATAATGCTGTATGAGTGGATTACCCCTATGGATAAGAAGATTGTCAAGGTGATTGATATGAAGACAGTCAAGGTGAAGTTTAAGTGAAGAAATGGGTCCGTTCAAATAGATCTGCAAGCTTTAATAAAGACTGGAGGCTAATCCACAGCGGTTAGCCAAGTATCAGATGATGTCACCTGTGACATGTGTCACTGTTTTATGTGCTACTGAGACAAGAAAAACACTGCCAGTTAAAATTGTAGGACGCATGATGCACGAATGAGAGAATTAGGGGAAAGGTGTCATAATTGATGAGATGCAGTGATTTAGATTTACGTGATTAAGTTGTTGTAGGTTTTTCTGCTTGCTTGATACGGTTCCTTGAATGTTGTCATAGTTAAATTCTTGGGTAGGAAAAGTTGAAATGATATCAAAGAAACTATACTTTCCTTTATGACATCATTGGCCTGCATTAGTTCTAACATTAATGGCATCGTTTTTAAAATATGGGCAAAACATTGGCACTTTCCTGAGTGATTTACATAGTAACCCATCAAATTCTCACATCAATCTTAGGGGATAGACGTCCTGTAAGACACTGAGAAGTCTTACTTGTCTTATTTGTTCAGTCACCTTGCAGCCAAGTGAAGGACTGAGACAGACAGCCTGCCTTGAGCTGTTACTTTTAACCATGATTCTACATTGTATCTCTGATACACCTTACTATATGAAGCATTAGTGCTACCAATTAGTAAGTTATCAGCACGGATGGGGTTATTACTTATCGATATTTTTATTGCTAATGTGATTACTGACCTTAGTGCCATTAATAGGAAAGTCATGTCAATAGTGACAAATTTACCTCTCCACCTAGCTGAGATTAGAGCTTCTATCAGTAGACAGATTAGACACCTTGTTCGCAAAGGAGAGTATTCTGTAAATACAAAAGGGATTCAAAGCTCAAACCGGTTTCCTTGAGGCACTCCAACAAAGGAGGATTCTGTCATCTTTACCTTAAAGCAGGGAATCTTTGTGTACAGTTGAACTTGTTCTGGAGGTTTGAAAATAATCCCCAATTTTTTTCTTAGGATCACATTATCCCCAAATTTATAGTGATCCTATAATATATTCCTGAAACTTTTAGTAATTGCAAAATGATTTTGCCTTATCACAGCAAACTCCTTTGTGCTGCCTAACCTCGTATTGTAAGACACTTAGAAATCAGTGAGGGGCCTGTGCTACAGGAAGTGGGTAGAACTTCCAGTACTGGCATCCCATACGGGGGCCAGTTCAGGTTCCAGCTGCTCTACTTCTAATCCAGCTCCCTGCCTGCGTGCCTGGGAGAACAGCAGAAAGGCTCAAGTCCTTGGGCTCCTGCACCCACATAGGAACCCTGGAGAAAGCTCCTGGCTCTGGCTCCTGGCTTCAGCCTGGCCCAGCACTCTGAAGAGTAAACCAGTCAATGAAAGATCTCTCTCTCTGCCTCTCCCTTTCTATAACTCTGACTTTCAAATAAATAAATAAATCTTAAAAAGAGAAACTGTCAAGCTAGTGAATATATAATTGATAGTTACTGAAACTAGGTTAAAGTATTTGACCTCAGTAAATACTCAGTAATGTACCCTCTGATGCAGTTCATTCAAAGTATGATAGAGAAACCAAATTTAATGTGTAATTTAGAGTGTTTCTAAAAGAAGATAAAGCATTGGGGAGGGGCAGGGGAAATCCCAGAGCTTATTGAACTGTATCATAAAATAATAATAATAATATGATTATAAAGCACTATAACAATTCAAGTATTGAGTCAGTGGGCTTGTTTCTTAATCCCAGCTCCACATTTTACCAGCTGTATTGCCTTGGACAAGTTAACCTCTAAGTGCCTAAGGTTCTTCACTTGTAACATTGTAATAGTAACAGAAATTACTGCGTGGAATAGTATTAAACATTGAGTTAATAATATAAAAAGAGCTTGGAAGAGTGCCAAGGTTTACCGAGCAATCACTAGGTACTGCTTTAACCCTTCTGCAGTGGTAGTAGTCGGAATAGTAAACGATTTCTCTTGTTAGTCTTTTGAGAAAGGCGTGTATTAGAAATCTGTATTTCGGTTGTATCAATGTTCATCTTAGCTTGTTTAAAAATATCACCTTATTTCTGAGAGAGAGAATTTCTAGAGCTAGTATTAGAATCCTTCTGTTCTTGGTTTTCTCTCTAAGGTGTAAATTTTTCTTCTCACTGACGTGAAACTTGGCAAACCTCAAAAGAACTGTTCATTTACAACTTCTCCATTTCTGGATGAAAAAAGCATTTTTCGTTCTGCTCTTTATAGTAGCAGCGTTTGCAAAGTGTGAAGTGTTCTGATGTTTTAACAAGAGGAATGAGCAGTGACAGGACTGCCTGGACAGATGGTGTGAGTCCCAGATTCTCTGTCATTTTATTGTGACCTTAAAAGGCAGAAGAAAGAGCAGGAGATGGCAGTTAGAGTCGCTTCTTTGGAAGATTCTCCCAGCCAAATGTCGTTTTCATCCTTTTCAAGCACTATTCTCCTTAAAGAAATTAATATTTTTAACAATACTTTCCAGAGGGGAAAAAGAACCCCAAAACCTTAAGAGTGAGTCTAAGAAACTTTTTATAATATTCAATTTTTTCATATGCAGCTTATTCTGAGAATGAATATAGAATGCTTATCATTTTTATGAAACTAAAGAAGAACGCAAGATTGAAGAAACGAGGCTTTCCTCTTCCCAAAGCTTTCTCCACATGCCTGTGGAACGATGTCTTTGATCCTAGTATTTAATAAGAATTTTAATATTAGCGACAACAATGAAAACAGATGTACCAGGGTAACTCTAGGTATGATGTGTTGTGATAAGTACCTTATGTATATGATCTCAGATAGTCCCCATAGCATCTCTGTGGGGTAGGTATTATCATCCCCGATTAAACATGAAGACATGTGAAGTATCTTACTCAAACTCAGTAGCTGGGGTTAAGATTTAACCCCACATTTGACTTTTAAGCCCTAGTGCTTTCTGCCTAGAACTAGCAGGTTAGGTGCATTAATATATGTAATGCCCTTGGCACATTCTAAGCTCTATAAACATTGGCTTCTGTTGCTGTTTCTTTATCCTTACTACTCGTGTGCTACTGTAGCAACACAAAGCTTAGCACCTTCAACACAGTGCTAACCTGAAACAATTCTCTGGACAAGAGTTTTTTAATTGCAGCCTTGGTCCTCAGTCTTTTTTTTTTTTTTAAGATTTATTTAATTTTATTGAAAAGGCAGATTTACAGAGAGAAGGAGAGACAGGGAGAAAGATCATCCATCCACTGGTTCACTCCCCAAGTGGCTGCAGTGGGTAGAGTTGAGCTGATCTGAAGCCATGATTCAGGAACTTCCCCCAGGTCTCCCACACGGGTGCACAGTCCCAAGGCTTTGGGCCATCCTCTACTGCTTTCCCAGGCCACAGCAGAGTACTGGATGGGAAGTGGAGCAGCCGGGACATGACCTGCACCCACATGGAATCCTGGGCCACACAAAGCGAGGATTTAACCACTAGGCCATCATGCCAGGCCCAGTCTTCAGTCTTTCACTCCTTCACCTAAAGCCTTTTACTGAGACCCAAATTACATTATTAATTTATTATCTGCATTTTATAGCTATTTTTCATCTCCAAAATTCAAACTAATTAACAAAGAGTAATTGCTTTTTCAATAAAATAAATAAATCTTTAAAAATAAATAAATAAAAAGTAATGAGTATATTAGTTTTTTAGGATGTAGACTTTATTCCATAGCTTCCTAGTTTCTAAAGATGTTGCCTCAATTTCTTTGGGAAATTTTTTCCTTCCTATTTGAATCAACTGATAAGATTTCAGGCCAAAAGTCTAGAAGTGGGCCTGGCGCAAAGGCCCAGTGGTTAAGGTCCTTGCCTTGCACGCCCGGGATCCCATATGAGCGCCGGTTCTAATCCTGGTGGCCCTGCTTCCCATCCAGCTCCCTGCTTGTGGCCTGGGAAAGCAGTTGAGGACGGCCCAAGGCCTTGGGACCCTGCACCCGTGTGGGAGACCTGGAGGAAGTTCCTGACTCCTGGCTCTGGATCAGCACAGCACTGGCGTTGTGCTCACTTGGGGAGTGACTCATTGGACAGAAAATCTTTCTTTCTGTCTCTCCTCCTCTCTGTATATCTGACTTTGTAATAAAAGTAAATAAATCTTTAAAAAAAAAAAAGAAAACATCTTCCCCCAGTTTGTATTTTCTTCTTTTTACTCTTCTAGCAGCAATTTTTTTTCAATAAAAATTCTTGATTTTAATATGGTTCAATTTATCAATCTTAGTATTGTTGGCCCTTTTTTTAGTCCTGTTTTAAGAATTTGTCCCCTGGCCCCGGAGTGTGTTCCGACTGTTCTGCTTCCCATCCACCTCCCTGCTTATGGCCTAGGAAAGCAGTAGAGGATGGCTCAAAACCTTGGGACCCTGCACCCATGTGGGAGACCCAGAGAAGCTGCTGGCTCTGATTCAAATCGGCTTATTTCCCACCCTTGTGGCTACCTGGGGAATGAACCAACGGGTGGAGGACCTGTCTGTCTCTCCTTCTCTCTGTCAATCTTTCCAACAAAAATAAGTAAGTGTTTATAAAAGAAAGAAAGAAAGAAAGAAAGAGAGAGAGAGAGAGAGAGGAAGGAAGG